GACAGACCGACAGACAGACCGACAAAAATTCTAAAAACTTAAAATCCGGCTCTGTATCGATAATAATGTCTATTTAGAATAGATTTTCCAGAAAATATTTAATGTATAGATTCGACTTAGTAACAATTTTATCATATATATATATGAAAAAGTCGCCTACAACAGCCAGTAACAATATATTACTTACAAAAATCGATCATCACGTCAACAGGACATATTGTACCATTTAGTATTCATAATACTGGGAAATTGGGTGCAATGAAAAAGCAATTTCGCGGGGTCCCGATCAAATAAGAGCAAGTCTTGCACTCATAGTAAAACTCTGTTTAATGTTCTCGATGTGCCATTAAAGAGCTTCCATAAAATGGCACTTATTGTCCCATGAATATTTTACGGTGTTTTTTGCATTACTTTCGCGTTACATGTTGTGTTGGGAGATGAAGACTGATTTAATTCTCAGATTGAATGGATAATATAAATATATAAATATGTTGGGACATTAACACACAGCGCCATCTAGTTCCATGATAAGCTACGAGGCTTGTGTTATGGATACCAGATAGTTGATACACTACACATATATAACTTTAAATACATACGTATTATAAATATAATTTTTTTTTTTTTAGAAAAAAAATAATTATAAATATAAACACCCATGACTGGGGTACAAATATTCGTCATCACACAAATGAATGCCCCCAGCGGGACTCGAACCCGCGACCGCTGGCACACAAAGTAGGGTCAATACAAACTGAGCCAAACGTGTCGTCAAATAGAATAGTAGATAATATGTGGCAAGTGAAATGTTTCTTTTTCTTACCGACTTCAAAAATGAGGAAATTCTCAATTGGTATAACGTGTATGTTTTAGTATAGGTATGTTTCACTTCTAAATGTAAAATAATTATTTTTAAACTAACTTAAAGTCTGTACGTAATTATTGAGATGGTGTACAATTTCATCATTACCCAATAATAATTTACGAGTATGTTAACGTGATATCAATACATAACGCCGAAAAATTATAATTAGCCTAAAGAAATCCGTAGCAATACTATTATTATTATAATCTCTTTTTGGCCTTTTAATTTAAATTATCGGTTTCATCAATATAGTAAAAGCCAAAATAATAGTGACTTTTAGGTAATTTGTGCATGCTACGAGTATAAGCAGCATTACAATACACGTTGCTATTGGCAACTACATACTGTTCATTTCACTGGTATTTCATTATTTCTACTGTAAAACTCACTTGACGAGGGCCAAATGACCCTAAAAACTGACCAAATAACCGCGCAGAAAATCATCGTAAAATCGACTTAAACCTATTGTAATAAGACATATAAAATATTTAAAAGTACATTTGCAAATTAGTTAGCAGAGCTCAAAATTAAATTCGCATTTAAACGTGCTTTAAATTTCATTTCTAGATACATAACGGTTTGTTCGACGGAAAGCTATGAATGAATGGAATTCTTGCATAGATTTAGGTATTTGCTTTAGATGTGACCGCAAGTTAACAGCCGTTTAATGTTTAACTGAGATTAATGGATGTTGATTGCTGTTTGAGATATTTAGTTAGAAATTTCAGAATGCTAGCATGTTAGCTATTGATAACTGGAAAGATTTGTGAATGTACTAGTGAATGGGCAAAATAATTAATTAATAAAATTGTCTTTTCGGATTTTTTAGCGGCTTTATTTTGATTTTTGGTTCCCGACGTATCGAATGCTTTACAGCTATTATGGTCACGGAGAGATTAGGGTTCTACTTCTAGACGAATCAAAGGATATTATATAGTTGTTACAGATCGCACCTACCTACAAAATTATACAATTATTATCAAAAATGGCACCAAAGTTTAACAAAATTTGCTAATTTGAATTTTAAAAAACTTATAATTTTAGTAAGTTTTATAGTTGAATATAATAAACTAGGTAGCTTGTTATACGTATGAACATTTACTTTCACGATATACGTATATCTAGATAAGTGATTATGTGATGATGGAATGTCAAAAATTATAGATTACAAAACAGCGTTGAACTCCTTATCTTTTACTTTTTGTGGACGATAATATGTTGTAGACATATCACGACGTAGTTTGCTTTCACAATAATATTTCTAAATACAATTTAGCCTAAATATAAACATTTGTCTTAGGAATGGTATACGCTATTTCCTCCTTAATACAAATGCCATTTTTAATCTACATACTAATGGCGAGTATCTAAAGTAAACTACATATAAAGTGAGTCAAGCTTTTCGAGTAAATAAACTATACATATAATAAAATTATAACTAAGTCGAATCTGTACATTAAATACATTTGGAAAATCTAATTGAAATAGATATTATTATCGATACACAGGCTGAATCTATGTTTTTAGAATTTTTGTCTGTCTGTCTGTCTGTTACCGCATCACGAGAAAACCACTGGACAGATTTTGATGAAATTTAGTATGATGATAGCTGGTTATCCGGGTCAACATATAGGATACTTTTTACTGCGGAAAAATATCTCATTTGTAAGAGTATACTAATATGTAAAACCTAAGAATTTGGTTTTTGGTCCTCTGAACGCGGGCGGAGTCGCGGGCAATGCTAGTGCTTCATAAAAATGTTTACATAAACAGAAGGAAGTATTTTATAATAGTAAATAGCTGTATCTATCTATAATATTCGTTTTGAAAAGATTTCAGCTTTCACACATGATGGACTGCAACGCAACAAATCAGTACATAACGCTGAAGGTAATCATCTGGAAAGTATTCCTATTCAGAGCCTGGAATTTTATACAAAAAGGGCCAGGGAGATGACTCGTGTCCTCAATGACCAGAAGACCTATCCCAAAAATTGATAAAATAAGGTTTTGAGGATATGAATATAAAGCAGAAAATTGGAAGGAGGGGGTTCTTTTTATCCTGGCTTGGGGACAATAACGGCGTGTTCGTTCAACCATTATTTCCGCGTGATTTGACGTGTCATTGCCATACCTTCATACGGTAGATAAAGTTGAAAATGAATCAAGTGTGTAAAATCAAGAGTGAGTTTGCCGTCTTAAGCTGTCTCATATCATTCATCAGAGATTATATTGACGATTCCTATTTTATTATTTTATACCATGTTTATATCGAAATCACAGAATTTGCCCTATACAGAGAGGCACGAAAAATCTTCTCTAATAATTTTTGGATTTTTTTTCTGTGCGGAGTTGAAAGGACGATATAGCGAGTGCTACGTGTACCCATTTACCGAATATATAATATTTTATTAACTTTAGGTAAATAACAAATCATAGCAGTAAAAAATTATGTATAGATACTTATGTCTGTTCATGCCCGTCTCAAAAGTTAAGTGGAATGGCTCTGGCAGGTCGGAAGTGATACCGACGTTTCACTCATACATAATAAAGTTTAGAAAGAACTAATAATTGAGCACGGACTACTTTGATATTTGCATTTTCCAGCAAAATTTAGTTTGTTGACTTTTTATTCATTTTTGTATGATTTTATACGTATGTATATACTTAGTATTATTTTTATTCGAAAAAATACTTGAAATCTCTTTATACAAAACTAGCAGATACCACACCTTCGCTCGCGTTATAAATACAAAAAAAAAACTCTAAAAAGGTGCGTTTCATACAAATTTTCATCCCATATTTTGCCCCCTTATGGGATGAATTTTGAAAAATTATTTATTTATTTAATTGTATTGAATGCATTGCATTAATACAAAGTTTCAAGTAATTCTGATCATAATTTTTTTTTTGGGTTGTATTATTTCATATTTTCCCATGGGAATGAGATAATCTCCCGCAGTAAAAAGTAGCCTACGTCACTCTCCAGCCTTCCAACTATCTCCACACAAAAAATCACGCCAATCCGTCACTCCGTTTTGATGTGAAAAAAAAACCGACTTCAAACTAAAGCACTAAAAAGTAAAAAATAACTGATTGGTAGTTTTCATTTACTATACATACCTAATCAAATATTTTCGAAGTCGGTGTGCTTAGACGTTGTGCGTAGACTTAGTGTGAAAGAGTAGTAGAGTACTATACTAATACTATACTACTCTTTCACGCCAGAACGGCTTAACGGATTTGGATGAAACTTGGCACAGAGATAGATTATAGTCTGGAATAACACATAAGTTACATTTTATGCCGGAAAAATGTACGGTTCCCGTGGGACAGGTTTTTTTTCTAGAAATAAACCCGAGCGAAGCGAGGGTGAGCCGCTTGTAATGTAACATTTTTTTAAATAACATAAAGAATATTCTATGAAACACAGAATTAATAAAAAAAAATCATAATAGAAAGGATCAGAGGCTGTATTATGTCACAGTAAACTGTGCATTTAGATGCGATAATAATATAAATCTGGTTCTGAAGTGCTGAATCACGTTAATAAATTTCAGGTAACTGAATGACACCCCTCTGATGTGATCACGACGCAATAGAAATATTGAGGGGTTCGCGAATTTAGGATAAGCCCATCCGCAGTCTTTTGAATCGATTATTGGACGTTTATATGCAACATTTTATGACAATATGGTGAGAGCACTTCAAAAATTTTGATTAATAAAAAATTGGTAAAGGAACAACGATGAAACGTGCTAATTAATGTGAAGATAACGTATTTAAATCGCATTTTATATTTCAATTCATGATTCCAAGAAAATTTTGATTTTTATCCATTTCTTAGCGCAGCACTATTAAAAATAAATGTAATAAAACATTTTAGTTAATATTGTAAATTTTTAATGCTTATAAATAAATACAATAGATACAACTATCAAAAAAATAAAAAACTAACAAAATAATGAGACTTGTAATATAGTTTTAAATAACGAATTATTCGGATATATCCCAAATTAGTATATTTTGCTTTTGCCCCGCTACTTACACAATATTACTAATTAGTTTATGTAATATATTAATTTTTCGACATATTAAACAAATTATATTGCTGTAAAATACTTAATAAATGCCTAAATTTTATCGTTTACAGTTATTTTTGTTGTAATTTCTATGATATCTTCTATGTTACTACTAGAATTTGTGATAAATTTATAGTTATATTTAGTATTAATATCAGTGCATGTTTTTTTAAGCATAACAGCAAAATTAAGAAATACTATTTGTACACCCTTCTTTTCAACATCTTTAATTATTGACATTAGATTAGAAGCCACTGTTGAATCCATATTTTGGAGATTCGTTCCATCGACTATTAAAAGAGTTTCATATTCAGCATCCATTGCTGAGTCTAATATTTTTCTTCTCACATGATCTGCAGCACAATATGACAAATTTTGTGGCAAACATAATAAAATTACGTCTTTTTTTGCTGTATTCAGTGTATTTACTTCAATTTTAGGTCTGGCAGTTGAAAATAGTAAACTCACAGCATCAATTACGATACCTGCCATAATCCCATATTCAAGACCAAAAAACAAACAAACGCATATAGTAGCAAATAATATAAATAGTTCACGTTTACTGCTATTCCATAGTCTTTTTACTATTTGGTAATCAATCATGTAAAACATTGCTGTTATTATCAAAGCCGCTAACGAAGCTTTAGGAATATAATAGAAAGTAGAAGTTAATAAACTTAAGGCTAAAAGTATAAGTAGAGCTGTAAAAATACCTCCTGCTTGGGTTTGGACTCCTGAAGCATTATTTAAGGCAGTACGAGTGAAAGATCCTGTTGTGGGCATACTAAGGGCGAACGATCCAACTATATTACAAATTCCAAGAGCAATCATTTCTTGTGTAGCATCAATTGGGGCACCATCAGCAAAAGCTTTCGCAATTGCTACTAGCTCTAAAATAGCCACCAGTGGTATGGCTATTGCTTGGGGTCCTAGATTTTGTAACATATCAGTAAAGGTATGAGTTTCATTGCCAGCAAATGTATTAAAAGGAGGTGGTTGGAATTTTGGCAGACCACTACTGATTTCTCCGATAATTTTTAAAGGTTCTGTATCTGTGGTTATTTTTATTATATATGCTATAGCAATACCAATAATTACAACTACTGCATTACGAGCGAGTGATATAAACCACCTCATTTTCTTAACAAACCCATCCGTTCGACTGCATCCTTGTCCAAGACGTTTTAACAATACTAAAATTATAATAGTGGTGAATCCCAAAGTAGCATCCCGTATTCTAAATGTACTAATGTTTTTAGTAAAATTATATACAGATTCTGCAAAATAATTCCCTGATGATCCATTTAAGCCAAATAGTGAAATAAATTGTGCGGATGCTATTTGAAGAGCTGCAGCTGTTGTGAATCCACTAATTACAGGTATCGATATAAATTCCACTAGGAAACCAAGATTAAGTACACCCATTATTAATATAGTCCAGCCAGACAGAAAAGACACGAGAATAGCGTAGTCTGAAGAATAGCCAGAGACGTATTTTGCTGTCATCGCCGACATTATGGCTGTTGGTCCAATTGTTATATCCTTGCAGCTACCAATAAATAAGTATACTATGCCTCCTAATAGCCCAGCGTACAGACCATATTCAGGGGATAGTCCAGCGACTATAGCATACGCTATTCCTTGAGGTATAGCCGTAAGTCCAACTGTAATACCCGCAATTATATCTTGAATCAATGTAGTAAAATTATATTTTGGTAGCCATTCTACGATTGGCAAACGTTTCTTCAATGTTTTTATGTTACACGTGTTCTTGGCAGACTTTTTCATTTTTGCACACATTATTCGACCCGTATCTTGTGTATTAACTGTCATATTTTTGTTGTTGCCTTTTAGAACAATATATCGAAACTGATTAAAAATTTGAAAATTGTGTTTGAAGACTCTATCACGAGATAGATTACTCATGACTGTGACACTGACATTGTGATTTTATTGACGAGTGATAAAGAATTTATCTTTTTTTTCTTTTTCATATACATTCACGTGTCCAGAAGTATAGATATACACATAAATATCATGGTTTTAGAGTAAAAATAATCAACAAGTGTACATAACGATAAAAGCTCTAGGTATCATAAAATATCACTTTACACATTTAAACAAAAATAATAACACGAAACTGTCTATTACCATAAAAGGACAAACACAAAAAATACGTGTTTGTGTTAATTGCGTTAATTAACAAAACGAATAAATAATATTTATGATTATTATCTTAGAAAGTATTATGTAATAGAGAGTTATATAATAAATTACGAAGCAATATTAAAGAAGTTCAAGACAACACTACAACATCTCGAAAGTCTTCAAAATACTGAAAGTAAATATTAACCTAGATATAATATATAATTTTCTTAAATACTTTTTAATTATAATTCTAAAATCAGCTAATCTAGCCAACCTTAATTGTTATTTAATTGTTATCACTTATGATAAGTAATTTATTATTACTAGCGACTCAGCCTCGCTCCATACGGTACGTCTCTAGTTACGTTATAACGTTTAGTATAGTTTTCTCAGAGATGAGCATGAGATATTTTTCTGCAGTAAAAAGTATCCTATATGTTGACCCGGATAATCAGCTGTCATCATATCAAATTCATCAAAATCTGTCCAGTGGTTTTCTCGTGATGCGTTCCCAGACAAACAGACACAAAAAATTCGAGAAACTAAAAATTTGGTCTCTGTATTGATATTAATGAATATTTCATTATTATGTAGTTCGAATAATCAACTAGACGTAAGTTATTGTAAGACGATTTAATTTTCATAAAAAAAAACATATAAGTCAGTTATAATTAAAAGAAAGATATATTCATAGTATGCAATAAACGGATAATTAGAAAAAAAACTGATAGAAAAAATTAAACCATCAAGGAAATATTGATTTGAAAACAAAAACAAACCAAATTGTTTTTGTCATATTATTATCTATACTATAATAAAACAGTAGAGGTCGAATGTCTGTACATAGCAAAAAAATGCTCACAACCGTGTCAGGGGGATGTAAGAAGAAAAATAGAACAAATCCAGATTTTTTTCAATTTTTTTGTTTCTTTGTCTGTTTGTCTGTTTGTACGGGCTAATCTCCGAATTTATTGGACTGATTTAAATAAAATTTTCATGGTGGTACATTATATCCCCGGGAAACATCTTAGATACTTTTTATCCCGGAAAATTAAATAATTCCCGTGGGATAGTTAAAAAACTTTAATAACTTATACAACTTATGCACCTAATTTAGTAAAATTTATCATTCTGATACCTTATATTGCCGGTCAAAAAACAGGTTATTTTTCATCCCGGAAAAATGAATGGTTCCCGTGGGAACTAATAGATCTCTATTAGTGTTTTTCTAGAGGCGAATCCGAGCGAAGCGAGGGTGAGCCGCTAGTGTGCATATAAAAGTGTAACTGATCGCTGTCCGTAAATGAAAATATATTTAAGAAAAACTACTATTACGGACCTTTAATAACCAATAGAACCCAAAACAATGATTTTTAGTGGTTTTGTCTGTTTGTCTGCGCATTTGTGCGCGCTAATCTCCGAAACGGCTTAACCGATTTGGGTGCAGTTTTCACTAATATATTGTGTGTAAGCTTTGCTTAATATTTGTTGTTATTTGTTTTATTTCAATCGGTTCATAAATAAAAAAGTTATGTCAATTTAAAGAATAAAATGTAGTATAAATACCGTGAATACAGATTCCTAGTTTTAATAAGTCGAAACTATTTTCTGCACAAATTATACATACTACTTCTAAATCTCTTGGAATTTTGAATATGGCATTCATATTGCAAAAAAATCTAAACTTAAAATCAGCAAATTTACCGTTTTATTATGTCAAAGATAAGATAATATTATCAAACATTCATTATCAAATCACTTAAACCTATCCATAAATGTAGTAAACTCGAGTATCAACTTCTGAAAATCTTCCTCATTGTCAATCTAGTCAATATTTAATCCCAAGCTTTACACCAAGGTCCTTTTACAAAAATGTTTTTAATTCTGCACATATATCGTAATACGTCGTGATAATATCGATGTTGGCTGTGTTTGTGTGATAGGGCAGTGGGTTCGACCCAGAGTGAAACAGATAAGGGTGATGGAGGAGCGCGTGGCCATGCATAAGGCCCAAGCATTAAAGTTAACATACTTATTGAAACGGTTGATTACGCGAAAATCGACTCTGCTACCCTAACTGGAATGCAGCAATGAGATATCTAATTTGTTGGTACGATATGTTATGTTCAGTACAAAAGACTTTTTAGTAGATGGGGTTAAGCAAAAACTGTATACAGTTGGTAAAGTGTTTGCAAAATAAATTAAAATGGTATCAATAACAAGACTAAATGTAATATTATATTTATTAAAAATTAACTCTAGAAAATTCTTATAAAAATAGTTATAAAGCGATAAGATTTTGTTCTTTTAAAATAATACTATAGAATAATTCTTGACAGTTAATAGAAATCGAACCTGCAAGCACTGTCTCTATATGCCTGTAATCCTACTACTGTGTCAGATTTTATATATGTATAAAAAATTATTTAATCTATTTGATTGCCGTCATTTTACAACTTTAAATATTTAAAATATGCTCACACCCAATGAAATGTTAATTAATGAAGAGGGTGAAACCATAATCAATCATCATTAAAAATAATGCATTTGACTTTTTAAGGGGTTTCTTAGAGCTAATGGCCCAATGAAGTTATTAGGGAGGGTCAATAAATAAGAAAAATTGTAATCTCCATATTAAAATACAGCTATGTCAACATAAACTATACATATAATAAAACTGTAACTAAGCCAAATTTGTACATAAAATATTTTTTGGAAAATCTTATTAAAATAGTCATTATTATCGATACAGAGGCCCAATCCATAGTTTTTAGAATTTTCGTCTGTCAAACGATAAGGCAGACAGATAGACTATCTATCTTTTTGTTTGTGACCGCATCGCGAGAAAACACTGTACAGATTTTGATAAAATTTGGTACGATGATATGATCAACATATATATGGGATAAAAGTATCCCATTCCCGCAGTAAAAAGTTATTACGGGAAAATATCTCATCTCTGAGAAAACTAAACGTTAAATGACATAAATAATATGAATAAATAATATTGTATAGGTACCTTTTAGGGATGCAGTTCTGTACCTTTTTCTCCTGTGTTTGTCAATCGATCTTCTTTCTTTTTAATGAGTGACTATTGATGAGTATTAGTGCAATCAATATTTTTTTACAAACACTTAGTTTTTTAATATATGATAAGTAAAGTTTATTTATATATGTTTTCCTTAAATTTTCAATACTTATTATGGTCGAATTTCGATCGCTAGGCGAATACTCACATATGTAAATACTAGCGACTCACCCTCGCTCCGTTTTAGATTCGTCCCTAGACAAAAACTAATCTATTCCATGGGAACCATATATTTATCCGAGATAAAAGTAACCTATGTGCTATTTCAGACTATAAATAATCTTTGTGCCAAATTTCATCCAGATCCGTTCAGCCGTTATGACTCTATTGAGTAACTAACATCCATCTATCCTCACAAACTTTCACATCTATACATATACATAAATATAATAAAACTGTAGAAGTCGAATGTCTTTACATAGAAAAAAAATGCTAAAAACCGAGTCAGGGGGATGTAAGGAGAGAAATAGAACAAATCCAGATTTTTTTTCAATTTTTTTGTTTCTCTGTCTCTTTGTCTGTATGTTTGCTTGTCTGTTCGTACCGATTTAAATGAAATTTTGCACGGTGGTACCTTATATCCCCGGTCAGCATTTTGGATACTTTTCATACTGGAAAATTAAAGAGTTACCTAACCTAATTTAGTAAAATTTGGCATTCTGATACTTTATATTGTCAGCCAAACAACAGGTTATTTTTTATCCCGGAAAAATGAATGGTCCCCGTGGGATAGATCTATCTGTGCTTTTCCAGAGGCAATTCCGAGCGAAGCAAGGGTGAGCCGCTAATTTATAATATTAGTAGAAAAAATTTAAGAATAGGGCTATTTAGTACTGAGGCGGCGTGTTTGATCGACACTTATGCTGCTTTCTCGCATCTAGCAGATCGTGCCTTAGTTCTTTAGTGAAAAAAGTATTATTTTAGTAAAAATTCTACCAAAAAATTACTTCGAAAAATAATATGTTATGCTTTATTAGGTTAAGATTAAACTAACACTTTTACTTAGATTTTTTTTTCATTTCAAATTTTCGAAAATTTAGTTATTTGCATGAACGGTGCCTAGCTTACTACTATATAATTATAATAAATGTTCAAAGCATTATGTAAAGATCATCCTTCAAAAGGCATTGTATTTTCTGGCATTCAACCCTTTGATTGGAGGAGGGTGCCACTAAGACCAAGTTACGCGAACTATTATCTTATTTGATATATAGAGGAATTAGAATCTATTCAGAATAAAGCCGTGTCCTGAATCCATTGCAGATCAAATGCTGAAAGTTTTAGGGTAAAATGGAGTGACAAATATGCGTGTAATAGACATTTAATATGCCTTCTCTGTTCTGAATTGAAATGTTGACGCTAGTTTATAAAAAAAGTATACTTACTATTCTTGAAGTGCTGTTACATACCTGAAATAATTAAATAATAATAATTAGTTTATTATGTAAATTAAATAATACGTCATTATTAAACTATAATCTATAAATAAATATATTTGACATTTCGCCTTTATTATTACGCCACCTTTTTTCAGCAAACAACGTCTCAATTAAATCCAAGCCCA